AAAGAGTAATACTTCCACTTTTCACATCACTGGTTCGGCCTCCTCTTCAGTATGCAGTGCAGTTGTGGTCACCGACTCACAGGAAGGAGGTCCCGGGGTGGAGAGAGTTCAGCGGAGGGCTACAAAATTAAAGGGATGGAGGGCTTGAGTTATGAAGACCGCCTTCAAAAATTAAACAAATTCACCTTCGAAAAGAGGCGATTAGGAGGGGACCTTATTGTTGTCTACATAATCACCAATAGGAACCAAAATATTTGGAACAAACTGTTGAGTCCGAAAACTCTATTGAGAAACCGGGGACACAACATGAGCTTAGATGAGAGGGGATTCAATCTTAGGATTTGTATGGGGTATTTTACTCAGAGTAGTGAAGTTGTGGAATTCCCTTCCACAGGCAGTGGTATCCGCTGATAGAAGAAACTCATCAAGAAGTTTCTTGAATTTATCTGTTTTCACTTAATTTACAGGGATATGAGAAGTGTTAGAGCAAGATAAATACAGACACACAATCACACATAGGATGAACTGGTGGACCCTTGTTTTTCTTCAACTTTACCTACTATGGTGTACGTTTAATAAACTGTGATAAAACTAGCTTTATCACGAGTTAACTTTACTCAGCAGATCTCTGTTTTTCTCAGCTGCACAGAGGCTGTTTAATAACCTGCGAAAAGAAAACTTATCACACGAAACAGCTGTGAAAGGCTGAGAAGTTATCACAGTGATCAGTTGAGAAAGCAATGTGGGGAATGTATTCTGAGCTGCACAATGACATGCTTTGTGATAATCTACAATCCTCCTGACAGGATTGTAGTTTAATCTGCCAAACCACCCAATAACAATATTATAAAGCACCTCTATAGCAAAGTGCAACAGTTATTTGACCATTAAAATTATGAAAATTGCTAAAAAGCAGGATTTACATGTTCTGATTTGTTCAGCATGTACCAGTACAAAAACATGAATCAAACTACCAGAGGCAGCCACAATGAGAGGCAGTGATGGGGTTAAACATTCTAAAGGGGCACTCTGATGGAGCCTAGCAATGTAAGTGGGCACTCTGACACATGCTGGAAATTAGAATGTTTGGCGTCCATGAAAAAAGCCTGCTGTCCCGAGATAGGTGCATCAGCACTGTGTATGATGCAGGTATTAATGCATCATAAACGGCGGACCATGGTGGCGAAATGGTGTTACAGACTGCTATGTGTGGAGTGCAATGTTCACTGCATCTGCCTCTAAAACATACTCCCCAGACATCCTTCAAGCTTAATTTGGTGGGCCTGTTTCTGAGGGAGAGTGAGACTTCAACAACAAGCCTTAAGGTCACATGACCTTACTGAACTTTACCTCACACTACACAGATACAGTGAGGGGACTTGAAACTGCCACTGTCACTCTGAGGTAAGGGTGGCATTAAGACAGACTTCCCTCCTTTTCCCTCTCAAGGCTGTGACACACTGCAGGCGAAGCGATGCGAAGCAAAGGGGAAAAAAAACCAACCTTCCACTTCGCACCGCACCGCAGCTTGTCTACACTGTAGTTTGTCTGGGCACAGCAGAGCTCGGGATCGCCAGCGGCAACAGAGGTGGGGGGGGCGCACAAACGCACGCATATTACAAGTGATCGGACGTCTCTACAGATGTCTGAACGCTTGTATGTAAACAGCCATCGCTGGATGTTTACATTCAAAGCCAATTTCCCGTTCGAGCGCGTGGCCTAGCGGTGGGCACGAGCGTGGTGGGTTAGGACATTTAAAAACGCCCACCCGCATGCCGTCCGCTGTCCGGCTTGAGGTGAGATATTTCAGTTCCTACCTGACTTATCACAGGTTATTAAACAGCATTTTCTAGACTTTTCACTTAGCTAAGGTGAGAAAAGCCTTCTCACTGCTTATCACACTCTTTCACAGTTTATTAAACGTACACCTATGTATGTTCCTGTGCAGTTTTACTTCAAAATTTCTCATGCATTAAAATATGTATCTTTATTCATGAGTTAAAGCAAGGTAAGATTGCATAGAATCAAGAAAAACTGCTGGACTTGAAGGAAGAGAAGATTTTAAAAAAATGTAATACTTTTTATAAATGTCATAATTGTTCAAAGTGGTTAAAACAGCATTAAATATAGAAAAAGTAATCACTGTGAGGGGAATTTTTTCACATCTGGAGCAGACAAAAACTGGAGATGTGCATGGCAACCAATCAGCTTCTTCCTTTCATTTTCAAATCTTAACTGAACAAACTGAAGAGAAGCTGATTGGTTGCCATGGGCAACTGCTCCAGTTTCTGTCTGCTCTAGTTTTTATAAATTCCCCTCTATGTATCTTTATAATAAGTCCCAATGATCAGCAAGAAGAGAAAATGTCTCTCTGTGGTGACTTCACCAAGATTCCCTTTTGGCAACAGTACAGTAATATGTTATGACCATGAAAATAAATAAATAACACCAAGGCACAGATGAGTTGCTGACCCAGAATTGCACTGGACCAGAACACAGGCATTGATGTGCTATGCGTTCTGTGGGTGGGGGGCGTGGCTGCGGTGCCATTGACTTCAATGCACCACCACGCCCCCGAATGCAGGGAGCCGGCCAAGATGCAGTACAGTGCTTTCCAGGAGTGAATCGTGCTGGCCCGCACTGTAAGTGGTGTGAACAAGCCCTAAAACAAAAACCTCCCGTCCTGCAGACTTTTTCCAGGTAAACAACTCACTAGGTAGTGAAACTAGGATCAGAGTGACTGCCATAGAGCCTGCAGTTTTAAAAAGTAAGTAATGGCAGCTAGCATATTTCTAGTCCCATAGGTTCTACTTAACCTGTACATGACCTGAAGTCAGGGCCGCCATCAGGGGGGTATGGCCGATACTCATGTAAGGGGCCCGGGCAGCCTGGGGGGCCTGCCCGCGACCCTTACATGAGTATCGGCCGACGATGAAGCATGGAGCGCGGGGCCCCAGCATTGCCGCTCCAGCGGCTTCGAGACAAGCTGGGGCCCCATCAGCGACGCTGCTCGTCTGATGTCGAACTGGCCGACAGTGATGTTACGTTAGTGACGTGGCGTCACTTCCGGCCAGTCCGGCGGCAGAGGAGGCCTGGTGTGCAGGTAAGAGGAGCTGGGAGGGAGGGGGATGCAGCCCTGACCAGCCCACCTGAGACCCCTTCAGAGCCCACCATAGACAGTCTCAGATGGGCTGTGCAGCATCTATGGTGGGCTCTGCAGGGCCACTCTCAGGTGGGTCCAGGCTGTGCAGCATCTATGGTGGGCTCTGCAGGGTCACTCTCGGGTGGGTCATGCGTCCAGCGTGGCGCTCAGCCCCGAGTCCAGCTGGTTACTTTACAAATTATACCTTGATAGAAGCATATACTATAGACAGCACTATACTTCAGGAACAGCGTGGATGAAGAGCTGCAGCTGTGACAAAGAATTGCTGCAGCCATCTCCCCTCCCTCCCCACTCCACTTAAAGCATGTTATTTTTTTCACAGAATGGAGGAGGGGAAAGGAGGGCTGATTTTAAATTGAAACTCCCTTCATTCACATATGGAACAAAATGTGACACGGTAATAGCAAAACAAGAATGCTTTGCATTCATTGAAAATATACAAGGCATTTTGTGAATGAACAAGGGGAGAGCAGGGGGTGGTTATTCAACTGGAGTCCTTCACTGTCACAGCTGCAACTCTTCATCCCTGCAGCACCAGAAGTATAGCGTGGTCTATAGCAGTGGTTCTGTGTAACCTCAGGACCCCCATTTGTCCTCGTCACAACCCAAGTGGAACTGCAGTGGAACGCATGGCATTAGGGTACTGCGTGTTCCAGTGCGGGCGTACAAACTGTGGGTGGGAGGTGCATTTGGGGTACCATTCAAATGAATGGCAACACACCTCCCACACCAGAATGCACAGTAGGTGAGATTACGTGGTACAGTGCGTTAATCGCACAACACTATGCAATTAATGCACTGTACTTGTGTGAATGGGCGCACACACACTTTTTTTTAAACTTTATTTTTTTTAAAGGTCCACCCAGTCTCCCTACCTTACAAGAAATGGAGTGGATCCTCAGCCTGGGGTCCAGTGTGGGCTGCTGTGTTGTGGCGGAGCTCCAGTCATATGTGCATTACTTGTACAGCTCCCTTGCGCAGGCTGTAGAGGTGACGGGAGCAGGAATGTGATGTTACTCCGGTCCAGGCACCTCTATAAAACACATGAGGAAGCTGTAAGCAATGCACTTATGGATTGAGCTCCCTTACGGCCATAGCTCCATCCCATTACACCTTAAGCTGACACTCGGCAGCATATTTTGAATTGCTGCTTGGCGTAAGAACTGAGTGCTGCACTAGGGGGAGGCAGAGGAGCCTCTCACCTGGAAAAGTGGAGGCAACCGGTGACCCACCGAACACGGGGTCCCGACCCACTTTTGGGTCACAACCCACCAGTTGAGAACCAAGGGTCTATAGTATTCAGCTTTAATCACAGTATAATGTGCACAGTAAACAGCAGCCTTCTGCATCTAGGATAGTCATTATTAGAGGTTACTTGACTTGTGGTGTTTTTAAAAAAAAAACATCTCATGACAGACATATGGGGTCTGTCATTGATGGTCTCCTTTTGAAAATGCTAGTTGACCCAATAGAAGCATGCTGTAAATGTGATGTGCCAAAAAGTGTTGAAAGGACTTCATTCAATATTTGTTCCAGGTCAATGACTCAAAGTGTGGAAGCAAAATCAGTAGGTCAGTCTGGAAACTAGTTTAACTTAGAAGTGGTAGCCTACATCACTCTATCATGACTGTTGCACTAAAGCTTGAACAGACATTATGTAGGCTCTCAGGCTAATACATGCATTGCACTGACCAACTCTATTTACCACCTTAAATGACCTACAGAACCTGTGTTAAGATTTAAAGGTTGAGCTGACAACCATACAGAGCTTATGATTTTCATTTGGATTGGAAAACTGATTTAAGCCTTTCATAGCAGTTGTTTTTCATTGCTACAGGTGCTACTTCAGAGAAGAAAACTGAACTTCCACCAATCAAAACTTCAATTACAAAAACAGGAATGGCCATCCTCAAAGATTGCTGTGGAACCACCCAGTGCAGCATCATGTAACACACAGCCTCCGTCTGGGTATCTGAATGGAACGTCCTTTTGAGTTGCTGGCTGGGTTCTTTAAGAAAGGGTTCAGTACATCCAGAATCCTGCTGCCAAGAACTGTATGTGCTGTAGATGTTACAAAAACACATTTACCAATAGTATATCAATAGTAAATCCCTCTCTGTCGCATGGATCACTCAGCGAGCATGTTTAAAGAGGAACGTGTATGTCTGATTTGGGCAAGCCTGAGTGATGATTAGTAGATATAGTAGTCTGTGTTGTTACCTCCTTTGAGATATTAACATGCTGTGTATAGTATGACTGAGTATAGCATAGTATGACTGAGTATAGCAATCCGGTGACCGATGTAAAGCCCCAGAGAGTGAATTCCTATAAAATGCATAACAGTTCTATCGATCCTCCAGGATTACCTATAAAGTAACCCCAAACATTATGCCGCTAGATGAGAAATAATTTGGCCTTTATTTACAAGGGCAAAGTACAATGAACAGAAACAAGTCAAATTATTTTTGACCCGGGTGGTGCTGATAAAACAACCATAGCTTGAATTTTGTTAGCTTCAGCAAGTATCGGCCGAAATTCTCGCTATATATGGCTAGTTGTACGTGACCCAATACCTGCTGGCAATGTGCTACGTGCACAGTATGCATGAATCAAGTTATCTAGTTTCCTTAAGTAGTAATAACTTGCACTTCTGACAGAAGCACTTGCAATGTGTTCTGATCATGCCCAAAGCACATCACATCAGGTTACAGAATGCATTGTGTAACTCTCAATTGGTTTTCATGAGACATCTATTCATCTTTGGCCATCCCAAGGGATCAAAGTTTGATTATGAAAATGAGAAAATCAGTGTCAATTCAAAGACCTGTTATCCTCTTGCAACCAAGCTCCAAAATGACAGCACTCCTTTTCAGCATGTGCATATCAAGCAAGAGGGGCATCAGGTGCCTGCCCATAGAGCGTTCCCTTGCTCCAAACTAGGAATCAGATTTAGCCTCACACTGATGGTCATTTGTATAAGATCAACTTTATTCCGAGTCAGCATGTGTCCCATCTATGGACCACCACTATCTGGGAGAGAGGAGCGGATCACAAGTGGAATTGTGCAGCACATGGTGAGCCTGAATAAAGTTGATTTTATACAAATGACGTTGTTGGCGTGTAGCAGACTCTGATTCCAGGACTTTCCTGTTATCCTCCTATCACGCAGAAAGATTTTAGTTTGGAAGCGGGTTAATGAAGCATTCTAAACCTTCATAGAGTTGCATGTACTTTTTACATTTAAATTTAATTTATTTAAATTGCAGCCTGCTGACTTTATGGAGGGCCTATAGTGTTTTTCCTCACTATTTTCTTATTTAAATATGTAAATTTGAAAAACTTAATGTAACAAATTTTATGAAAGTTATACTAAAAAGTTTGTCTTTAACTTAAATATATTACAGCATATAAAAGCGGCAGTCATATCTGCTCATTACGTGGTCAAACTCTGCTTTCTGGTTAACAGTACTGCAAATTATTGCTCTTCAATGCCTCTTGTTTGTAATACTCTGATATGACCTGAAGACAATAGGCAGTTTTGGTATGACTTATTAAAGCTACACATTTAAATCATATGGCAGACCGACAGCAAGATACAGCCACCAAACATCTAACCTGAAAAAGGTCTGGTATGGATGACAACTATCAAGTCCGTAGGCAACTTATACTACCTTATAATGAACCTGTGTGGATAGAATTAGGGGAGATGAAGCAGTCACACGAGATTCACTACCCGCTGAGCTATTGAGCTAAAAAAAACCTTGAAGTCATCGAAGTCTAAAAAAAACAAAAAACTGTATGCCTGTTCTGTATACTTGTTATATCCTGTATACATTAAATCCAGAATTGACTCAACAATCTGAATACTGCACTGATTAGAGAGGAAAAATAAAAAAACACAAGACACCTCCTATATAGCTATCCTCACAGGTACACTTTAAGCAGAACATGCCACTTACTATCCCGGATATATAGACATGTCCACTTAAGGGCACAAAACCTTACAAACCTGAAAATTAAACAAATTCGAAGATACAATACAGCAAGTAATGCTAAAACTTCATCCAAAATGGCTTGCATTATAAGAAGCATAACATTTGTAAATGCCAGACATACACTATAGTTTTCTGATCAAATTTCGAAAATGTTATATGGACCTGAATGCTGCAAGCAAAAATGTAAAAGGCATTAACCAGCAACTGCTTTTCAGGTGACCTATGATAACCTCCTCGTCAATAAAGGGCTCATTTTAATTTGATTTACAGTCATGCATTAAGCTAATGTTTCCAGATCTGGTAAAGTTCACTGACCTGAGAAAATCTACTGTTTTCTAGAAGACCTGTTCACACTAGGGATTTCCCGATGCCACTTTTTCAGGCCCAAGTACAAGTACATCCCCTCATGTACTTGCAGATACCAATTACCGATACTTTTTCTTAAAAGGGGCAGGCTACTTTAAATGATCCATAGTACAACTACATGTTATGTACTATGGATCATGGTTTAACCTATTCATGTTAGCAGCAGAGATTGTAACTCTATTGCTGGAGTGTAGTGGAGGTGTGTGCTGTATATATGTACTACATATACATTACACACATCCAGTACACTATAGCAATAGATTTACAGCCAGCCCCGTCCCAGCTTCCCTCACTTACAGTTTCACTCCGATCCCTGTTGCCTCACGGGGTGCCTCTTGTAGTCGGCACTGGGCAGGATCGCTGCCTTGCATCTCGGTGCTCAGCTTGAGGGAGGCGCTCGCAATTCTGCCCTGCTTACATGAACAGGTTAAATCATGATCCATAATACATATACAGCACATACGTCCAGTACACTGCAGTAATAGAGTTACAATTATCCCCTGCTAACATGAATAGGTTAAATCATGATCCATAGTACATGATTTGTACTAATTTACAAATCTGCCCTCACTCACTGTGCCGGAGAGAGCAGGGACGAGTCAGCGGCAGCGCTTGTCCAGTGGGAGGAGCTCCAGGTGGGAGTCCTAATTTAGCTGGCTTAGAGGTGCCTGCCAGCTAAATTAGAACCCCATCTGGAGCTCCTCTCGCCAGACCAGCGCTGCCGCTGACTCGTCTCTGCTCCTGACTGGCCGCTGCAGGTTTTTGTTTTTTTTTCTTACTTACCTCGCTGAGCGTCGCGTCACTGCTGATCGGGTGCGCGGCGCTCCGAGCGGGGTCATCTGGCAGTCTCCGGCCACCTAAATTAGGACCCGACCTGGAGCCCCGCCCACCGGAGCAGCAGTGACGTGCCGCTCGGCGAGGTAAGTAAGAAAAAAAAAACCAAAGCGCAAGCTACGGCGCTAGGCATCGGGGCATTTTGACAAGTACTTGTCAAAATGCCCTGTATCGGGCCCGATTCTGATGCTAGCATCGGTATCGGGACATCCCTAGTTCACACTAATGCTATTGCACAGTGGGGTGTGTCTGGTGTGCCTGAAAGAGATTTCTGTATGCAGCATTTTTGGTGCATTGACCTGTATTTTCCTACTCAAGTCAATTAAAGTGACACTAAACTCAGGAGTTAAATCTTAAAAATGCATTTAAATATTTACAAAAAAATATCTTGTGTATCACTTGGCTGAAGATCCTCAAATCATCTCTGAACTGGTATTGACATTGTCCTTCCTTTTGGAGGGTGACTACTTTTGTTCCCCATGGTCCCTATGTGTGTTGTAAAGTAGCCATTGCTCCAAGCTCGCTCCTGTGATAAGACTATAATCTTGTGCTTAGTTTACTAAATTATAGTCTATCACGGGAGTGAGCTTGGAGCGCTGGCTACTTTACACACACAAGGACCATGGGGAACAAAAGTAGCCACCCTCCTGAAGGAAGGACAGTGTCAGCACACATTCAGAGATGATTTGAGGATCTACAGCCGAGTGATACATAAATCAATGCTTTTTTTTTTTTATTAGAGCAGAGAGGGAGCCCCCCTCCTCGTGTGCCCTTTGTAAACAAGAAATAAAAAGAAAATGGGGGAGGAAGCGAAAAGTGTAGAGCTGTGCCCATAAAAATAGGTATGGAACAAACTTCAAGGGGGAACACCTCTTCCAGGGACAACTAGGGGGTCATTTACTCCACTTCCTGTCCCGGGGATGCAACAGAAAGTAAAGTAATATTTCACTGATGGTACAGAAAGCAAAACTAAAAATGTTTTTACAGACACACTTGGGTATGCTATTTAGGAAATTATATTTTGTATTTAGATAGTATTATAACTGCTTTCTCATGTGCATGTTTATTTTAATAAAAAACTGTGTTTATAGACATATGAAACACGTACATCAATCACAAACCACTTTGTGCTGTATCCTATTCTGAGTGGAATGCCTGTTTAGACCAATTTTAATACCGCAGGGCATTTTATTTAAATTTTTCTACCTCAACATAGGTACTTGATGCACTTCTGTGAGCTAAAGCATGAGACCCAAAACAACAACACTAGAGGGTTTATTTATAATACAAATTCACATAGCTATTCGTCAAGCAAAACTGCGTGTACATTAGTTTTGTGCGAATAAACCAGCATTCACTCATTAGTTTTAGGGGATTTTTTGCACAATGTATAAAGCTGCGGCTGTTGTGTGAATGGGGCAAATCTGGCTGAATGCTCCTGGGGTATTTCTCTTCTTATTTAACCACTTAGAGA